CAACTAAATATATTTTAGATTTGTTTACAATAATTTAATACTAAACAAACACAGTGAAATGTATTTTTTTCGTTAGGTTCAGAATGATTTTGGCGAAATTATTGCATACACAAATTTTCAGTTGTCCTATATGGCAAGATGAGCGTTGCTATTTAAGCCAAGATCGCAAGTTCTGCCTGTTCGGCACGACATATAATTATATATATATATAATGGGTGTGAAGCGTGGGTGAGAGTTGCAGCGAGAGAAGGCGGGCAGTGGAGATGTCAGTCTGAGGGATGTGTGTTGAATATAAGCAAGAATTGAGTTTGGGAAGTTAGGAGAGTGCGGGATTACCAAAACTGTTGTCCGAGGGCTGAGGAAGGGTTGTTGAGGTGGTTCGAATGTAAGAGAATGAGCGAACAAATGATTCATAGTGTATCATCTGTAGTGGAAGGAAGGCGGGTAGGGTCGGCCTAGAAGGTGGAGGGAGGGGTAAGGGGTTTTGTGTGCGGGGCTTGGACTTCCAAGCATGCGTGAGCGTGTTTGATAGGAGTGAATGGAGACAAATGGTTTTTAATACTTGATGCTGTTGAGTTGAGCAAAGTAACATTTATGAAGGGATTCAGGGAACCGCAGGCGGACTGAGTCCTGGAGGGAAGACAGTGCCTGCATCTGAAGGAGGGGTGTTAATGTTGAGTTTAAAAACGTAGTGAAAGCACCTTCTGGCAAGACAGTGATGGAGTAATATGGTGAAAGTTTTTCTTTTCGGCCACCCTGCTTGGTGGGAATCGCCGGTGTGATAATAAAAAATAAAAATTTATATATATTATATATATAATATATATATATATATATATATATTTTATAATATATATATAAATATATATATATAAGAGGTTGGTGACAGCAACCCCAGGAATACCCGTCTGCAATGACTGTGAAACAAAACCTTAACTGTTTTGCATGATGTAATTGCTGTTTCTTTTTTGTCTCTAAACAGCTAGATAAGGGATACTTGCTTCTCCTACTTACACTTGGTCAACTTACAAACCGCACATGCATATATATATTACATCTAGTTTTCTCCTTTTCTAAATAGCTTTGTTCTTCTTTATTTCTTCTATTGTCCATGGGAAGTGGAAAGAATCTTTCCTCCGTAACAGGTGTCGTATGAGGCGACTAAAATGTAGGGAGCAATGGGCTAGTAACCCCTTCTCCTGTAGACATTTACTAAAAAAGAGAAGAAGAAAAACTTTATAAAACTGGGGTGCTTAAATGTGCGTGGATGTAGTGCGGATGACAAGAAACAGATGATTGCTGATGTTATGAATGAAAAGAAGTTGGATGTCCTGGCCCTAAGCGAAACAAAGCTGAAGGGGGTAGGGGAGTTTCAGTGGGGGAAATAAATGGGATTAAATTTTGGAGTATCTGAGAGAGTTAGAGCAAAGGAAGGGGGAGCAGTAATGTTAAATGATCAGTTATGGAAGGAGAAAAGAGAATATGAATGTGTAAATTCAAGAATTATGTGGATTAAAGTAAAGGTTGGATGCGAAAAGTGGGTCATAATAAGCGTGTATGCACCTGGAGAAAAGAGGAATGTAGAGGAGAGAGAGAGATTTTGGGAGATGTTAAGTGAATGTATAGGAGCCTTTGAACCAAGTGAGAGAGTAATTGTGGTTGGGGACCTGAATGCTAAAGTAGGAGAAACTTTTAGAGAGGGTGTGGTAGGTAAGTTTGGGGTGCCAGGTGTAAATGATAATGGAAGCCCTTTGATTGAACTTTGTATAGAAAGGGGTTTAGTTATAGGTAATACATATTTTAAGAAAAAGAGGATAAATAAGTATACAAGATATGATGTAGGGCGAAATGACAGTAGTTTGTTGGATTATGTATAGGTAGATAAAAGACTGTTGAGTAGACTTCGGGAATGTACATTTTTATAGAGGGGCCACCGATATATCAGATCAACTTTCTAGTTGTAGCTACACTGAGAGTAAAAGGTAGATGGGATACAAGGAGAATAGAAGCATCAGGGAAGAGAGAGGTGAAGATTTATAAACTAAAAGAGGAGGCAGTTAGGGTAAGATATAAACAGCTATTGGAGGATAGATGGGCTAATGAGAGCATAGGCAATGGGGTCGAAGAGGTATGGGGTAGGTTTAAAAATGTAGTGTTAGAGTGTTCAGCAGAAGTTTGTGGTTACAGGAAAGTGGGTGCGGGAGGGAAGAGGAGCGATTGGTGGAATGATGATGTAAAGAGAGTAGTAAGGGAGAAAAAGTTAGCATATGAGAAGTTTTTACAAAGTAGAAGTGATGCAAGGAGGGAAGAGTATATGGAGAAAAAGAGAGAGGTTAAGAGAGTGGTGAAACAATGTAAAAAGAGAGCAAATGAGAGAGTGGGTGAGATGTTACCAACAAATTTTGTTGAAAATAAGAAAAAGTTTTGGAGTGAGATTAACAAGTTAAGAAAGCCTAGAGAACAAATGGATTTGTCAGTTAAAAATAGGAGAGGAGAGTTATTAAATGGAGAGTTAGAGGTATTGGGAAGATGGAGGGAATATTTTGAGGAATTGTTAAATGTTGATGAAGATAGGGAAGCTGTGATTTCGTGTATAGGACAAGGAGGAATAAAATCTTGTAGGAGTGAGGAAGAGCCAGTTGTGAGTGTGGGGGAAGTTCGTGAGGCAGTAGGTAAAATGAAAGGGGTAAGGCAGCCGGGATTGATGGGATAAAGATAGAAATGTTAAAAGCAGGTGGGGATATAGTTTTGGAGTGGTTGGTGCAATTATTTAATAAATGTATGGAAGAGGGTAAGGTACCTAGGGATTGGCAGAGAGCATGCATAGTTCCTTTGTATAAAGGCAAAGGGGATAAAAGAGAGTGCAAAAATTATAGGGGATAAGTCTGCTGAGTATACCTGGTAAAGTGTATGGTAGAGTTATTATTGAAAGAATTAAGAGTAAGACGGAGAATAGGATAGCAGATGAACAAGGAGGCTTTAGGAAAGGTAGGGGTGTGTGGACCAGGTGTTTACAGTGAAACATATAAGTGAACAGTATTTAGATAAGGCTAAAGAGGTCTTTGTGGCATTTATGGATTTGGAAAAGGCGTATGACAGGGTGGATAGGGGGGCAATGTGGCAGATGTTGCAAGTGTATGGTGTAGGAGGTAGGTTACTGAAAGCAGTGAAGAGTTTTTACGAGGATAGTGAGGCTCAAGTTAGAGTATGTAGGAAAGAGGAAATTATTTCCCAGTAAAAGTAGGCATTAGACAAGGATGTGTGATGTCACCGTGGTTGTTTAATATATTTATAGATGGGGGTTGTAAGAGAAGTAAATGCGAGGGTCTTGGCAAGAGGCGTGGAGTTAAAAGATAAAGAATCACACACAAAGTGGGAGTTGTCACAGCTGCTCTTTGCTGATGACACTGTGCTCTTGGGAGATTCTGAAGAGAAGTTGCAGAGATTGGTGGATGAATTTGGTAGGGTGTGCAAAAGAAGAAAATTAAAGGTGAATACAGGAAAGAGTAAGGTTATGAGGATAGCAAAAAGATTAGGTGATGAAAGATTGAATATCAGATTGGAGGGAGAGAGTATGGAGGAGGTGAATGTATTCAGATATTTGGGAGTGGACGTGTCAGCGGATGGGTCTATGAAAGATGAGGTGAATCATAGAATTGATGAGGGGAAAAGAGTGAGTGGTGCACTTAGGAGTCTGTGGAGACAAAGAACTTTGTCCTTGGAGGCAAAGAGGGGAATGTATGAGAGTATAGTTTTACCAACGCTCTTATATGGGTGTGAAGCATGGGTGATGAATGTTGCAGCGAGGAGAAGGCTGGAGGCAGTGGAGATGTCATGTCTGAGGGCAATGTGTGGTGTGAATATAATGCAGAGAATTCGTAGTTTGGAAGTTAGGAGGAGGTGCGGGATTACCAAAACTGTTGTCCAGAGGGCTGAGGAAGGGTTGTTGAGGTGGTTGGGGACATGTAGAGAGAATGGAGCGAAACAGAATGACTTCAAGAGTGTATCAGTCTGTAGTGGAAGGAAGGCGGGGTAGGGTCGGCCTAGGAAAGGTTGGAGAGAGGGGTAAAGGTTTTGTGTGCGAGGGGCTTGGACTTCCAGCAGGCATGCATGAGCGTGTTTGATAGGAGTGAATGGAGACTAATGGTTTTTAATACTTGACGTGCTGTTGGAGTGTGAGCAAAGTAACATTTATGAAGGGGTTCAGGGAAACCGGCAGGCCGGACTTGAGTCCTGGAGATGGGAAGTACAGTGCCTGCACTCTGAAGGAGGGGTGTTAATGTTGCAGTTTAAAAACTGTAGTGTAAAGCACCCTTCTGGCAAGACAGTGATGGAGTGAATGATGGTGAAAGTTTTTCTTTTTCGGGCCACCCTGCCTTGGTGGGAATCGGCCAGTGTGATAATAAAAAAAATATATATATATATATCCATTGTTGTACGACAATAATAAACTTGACAATTTATGACCCTGTCTCTGCTCCTAAAGAGAGCCTTCACAATGCAAGCACCATAAATATGAAGAGTTGACTTATAATTTCATGGTAATCACTTAACGTGACCCTTGTTTACTTCAAAACTAAGGGCTCCAGTTTAACGTAAGTGTTCCAGTCTTCCTTGAGTGTTCCAGTCTAGATTGATGGTTCCAGCCGTATCTAAATATTGCAGTCTGGTTTAACTATTTCTGCTGTCTAACTATTCCTGCCTTCAATCTGTATAGTCGTACTCCACCTATACCTGCATATAAATCCGGGTTATAATTGCTCCAGTTTAAAAACATTCTTGTCTTAGGGCAGTGACTGGTCACCTGGGATTTATCACCTTCCTCAGTAGGAACACAGTCACCTTCAGTGTGGCTTGTTTTCATTGTGGTCTATTCTGCTACTGACTCCAGGAACTTGTGCTACCCTCCTCGGGTCATACATGATTACCTCCCATCCTCTTAACTATTTACCGTGAGCCGAAGGTCATAGTGGTTCCTTGGCGCAGGGGTCGTCACTTACTGTAAGCTGGAGGTCGTGGTGTGTATCACAGGTGGTCCAGGGGCGGGAAAAGCGTATCACTGTGTGGGTGTCGTTCTGGTAACCACCCAGCAACCTGTAGTCCTGAGAGGCGTCAATTGACGGTGTCAGCAGCGCGAAGGCGTACCGGTCCTGCAGAACAAGGGAGCAAGATGCTAGAATGACAGGTAATAATGTTATGTAAACTGTAAGTATCCAGATAGTTGAATGTAACATACGGAGCTTCTCAAAGACGAGTTTTGGGACCCATGTTATTTGTGGTGTGGGTACATGACCTACCAAGAGGAAACGAATCTTGAACACCTTTCCATGTAGGTAAATGGTTCAAAGAGCCTGCAAGTTGATAATTAAATACGTGTGTCTAATTCACACACCTTTCCATGTATAATGTATACACTAAGATAGACGCATGTGTGTATATGGTCCAAATCTGACCCAAGAGTCTTTTTTTTAAGTTTCATTCTATGTGTGGGTTATTTGTGAATTGTTCCAGTGACGGTATTGTTAGTTTTTATTCTTTACCCGTGTATTTACATTAAAATATAGACTTCTCAGAGTCTAGACACTAAGAGATATTCTTCAGTGTATATACACTAAGATATACATATCTGATTAATCACATATAATGCAAAGCAGAGTACATATTAGACTGCAAGATTCTTAAAAATTACCTCAAGAATATGCCGGGATTTTTAAAAGGGATTACTGAAATTCTTCCCCAATAAAAGTAATGAGAACGAAGTCAAAAGGAGAGTTATCAAGACATACCACATGACAGAAGTACAACCTCCATAAAATCAAATATAAACACACACCTCTTATCGAGACTTCAAATATAAGCATGTGTTACTAAGGCAGCATATTAATACATGCCTGGTCTCGCGTACTGATGAACACCTGGGCCAGCATTACGAGTCTGTAAGCATAACAAGGCGGGGCAGATGCTATAAATTGGTGTCCGAAAAAAGTCGCTTTGAAAATGTCACTGGAAAAAAGTCACATTAGGCTAGGTTGTGACTTATTTTCTGTGACTTTTTTCTAGTGACTTTTCCTAGCCCAAATTGTAATATTTCCCCCGTGACTTTTTTTTCCCTAGATCCCTATAAATTACGCTGCTTAAGATTCTACAGACGACCAAACTGGGACAATCAGTTCTCACTGTCGGTTTACAAAACCGACAGTGAAGAATGAGACACTTGGGCAACATCTAGGAACTTTTATTGTGGCTTCCACCGTCTTCTCTGTACTGAAGAAGTCACTGGCTGGCGAAACATTTCCTCAGTATAGATTCCCAAATATTGCACAAGAGTGTCAGTCTTGTGGAATATTTGTGCAATAATGCGATTGAAAAAGTTCTTTAAAATATAACAGCAAGTGGAAATACTTTCATATATTTGCTGATCAATTTTGGAATCACTTTCTATCACATGTGCAAAAAAATCGCACCTTACAGAACAGTTTTATAAGAGCGTTTACTGTATATCTAAAGTGAACTTTAATTTATAGATTATATTTTGCAAGCAGCTCTGTTTAGGTCGAGACCTCGAATCAAACTGAAAATGATATCTCTAAGCAAGCGTGCCCCTCAAGGAAGGTTCCTTGATGTTGGTGAGGGGCTCTTGATTTAGGGAATTGGATCTGTGCTCCAGTTCCCCGAATTAAGCCTGAATGCCTTCCACATCCCCCCCCCCCGGGCGCTGTATAATCCTCCGGGTTTAGCGCTTCCCCCTTGATTATAATAATAAGCAAGCGTGCGAGAGAGAATGAAAATAAATGAATGAATGGGAATCTATTAGCGATTACGATACGGTGGATCGAACCTGCACCACTCCTTGCGCTGAATCAACCACATGGGTTTAGCGCATAACGTCAATAATAATAGTGTGGTGAGACTGACAGCTACTGTAATGAGAAGAGAAACTGCAGTCTCCCGGGTGTGGAGCATTGATCATTAGGGATAATTACTCGTCTATCAAGGATTAACTGGGAAGTTATAATTACTCTACTTAGTGGTGAGTGACCTAGGGGAATGGAAGAGGGGATGGGTGAGGACAGAAGGGAGAGAGGAGACCTGAAGGGAAGAGGACTGATTGACTTTTTAAGTTAGGAATAGGTTGGTAGACAGCAGCCGCCCAGGGAGGTACTACCCTCCTGTCACACGAATGTGAAATAAATCCTGTTAAACGTTTAGCACTCTGGCTGACTGTTTCTTTCTGTCTCCTGAGCACACACGATAAGTGACTTGGTGGACCTACATGGCATGGGACAGTAGGCCTACTGCAGTGCTCCTTCTTATGTTCTTAACTTCTAACGTTCATTATACGCATTACTTTTCACCGTGCTTCTTAAGTGTTCCTAATAATGTAATATTTTGTTTCCCACCTACGAGACCTGGTCTGAGACCTGGTCCTGGGGAAAATCCCCAGAACCACTAACACAGGGGTACTTTACCTTTTTACGACTACAGACCCACGGGTGGGGATAGAACCCGCGATCAGAGAGTCTCAAAACTCCAGACCGTCGCAATAGTGTCATTACGATTTCGTAAGTCATGTTAGATTACCCAGTATTTACCATACCCCCTTCACCAGACTAGAAATCATCGCCAGTGCTATCACGTACCAGTATGACTCCACCAGTCCTATCAGGTACCAGTATGACTCCTCCAGTCCTATCAGGCACCAGTATGACTCCACCAGTCATATTAGGCACCAGTATGACTCCACCAGTCCTATTAGGTACCAGTATGACTCCACCAGTCCTATTAGGTACCAGTATGACTCCACCAGTCCTATTAGGTACCAGTATGACTCCACCAGTCCTATTAGGTACCAGTACGACTCCAGTCCTATTAGGCACCAGTATGACTCCACCAGTCCTATTAGGCACCAGTATGACTCCACCAGTCCTATTAGGTACCAGTATGACTCCACCAGTCCTATTAGGTACCAGTATGACTCCAGTCCTATTAGGTACCAGTATGACTCCAGTCCTATTAGGCACCAGTATGACTCCACCACTCCTCTTAGATACATAAAGATAACCAGCAACACAACAGCTGATAGTTTATCATAATATAACATTTTTTAAATTGTTAAGAATTCGAATCCCATACCCCGATCATTTGGCTCCCGCACTCACAAGGGGTATGGATATCACCGGTTAGAAACCCCTCGCACTAACAGATAACTCGGCGGTTACATCTGGGGAAGTCCCAGGTACAAGGATATTTGATGCAGCTTAATGGAAAGTGAGTGGTGTCATCAGTATACGTGATGTTACATACATTGTACCTTCAGCCCTTTCTACCTCGATCTCTTGCTACCCTCTACCCTGCACTATCCACTGCCCCGCTGTTTTCTGTAACCTACTGATCGCCCCTCCCCCTTCTGCCGCCCAATACCCTCGCTTCCTTTCCTACCCTACAGCGCTGTATAGCCCTTGTGGCTTAGCGCTTCTTTTTGATTATAATAATAATACATACATCCTACCACTGTATCCTTGCATCAATTTCTCTTCCACTAACACTTTCCCCGGTAGACAAACTCTCAAGACAGTCGCAGGCATCTCGCACAGGTGTGGTTATTTTGGTGTCTTCATAATGTAGACAGTCGCCCCGCGCTCTCTGGGAGAGCACTCGTATAATCGCCGTTAGAATTTTACCTTCTCGGATCAAATATGATTGCCTCTCATTACAATAATAATAGTAATAATGTGTTCTTTTGCTTATTGTAAATAAATGGTAGACTACCATCCAGGGACGTACTACCCTCCAGTCATACGAATTAGTAGGATGGTAGCAAGTTTGCAGAGAGGAACTATCCTCCTGTCAACGGAATGTAACATGATGTCTGTCAGATGTCTTGTACTTTCAGTATAGCTGGTATTTTCTGTCTTACGACCGTACAAGACGTCACGCAAATTTTACGTACTTAGCTTTGCTCATAGGTTTGAACAGTTCTTATTCCTGTAATACTTTCTTAATGTAGAAGGCATGGTATGAGACCGTGCTGCGGGAGCCATCATCCAGCTATCTATTTCCTTAATGTAAAAGGCATGGTATGAGACCGTGCTGCGGGAGCCATCACCCAGCTATCTATTTCCTTAATGTAAAAGGCATGGTATGAGACCGTGCTGCGGGAGCCATCATCCAGCTATCTATTTCCTTAATGTAAAAGGCATGGTATGAGACCGTGCTGCGGGAGCCATCATCCAGCTATCTATTTCCTTAATGTAAAAGGCATGGTATGAGACCGTGCTGCGGGAGCCATCATCCAGCTATCTATTTCCTTAATGTAAAAGGCATGGTGTGAGACCGTGCTGCGGGAGCCATCATCCAGCTATCTATTTCCTTAATGTAAAAGGCATGGTATGAGACCGTGCTGCGGGAGCCATCACCCAGCTATCTATTTCCTTAATGTAAAAGGCATGGTGTGAGACCGTGCTGCGGGAGCCATCATCCAGCTATCTATTTCCTTAATGTAAAAGGAATGGTATGAGACTGTGCTGCGGGAGCCATCATCCAGCTATCTATTAATGTATATAATCACACCAGAAAATTTCAAGCCTCACAGTTGGTGACGATGGTGGTTGGATGAAGGTTGGGGGGGGGGGGGGCTGGCGGCGGTGGTGGTGAGTGTTGTGTGTAACTCCAGGAGGACAGGTGACAGTCATTCACAGGCCACAAGATCAGTGAACCTTGCACATGTCAACACGGGAGGATATTGCCCTTTTTTTTTCTCGAATTGGTTCCCAGCTGCATCTCTATCGTCCAATTTATTTACATAGTCCATATTTTCAACTGTATTGTATTTCTACTAATCAAATCAGGGAAAGAGTGGGGCTTGAACCCATGGCAAGTGGGTCCTAAAACTCACAGGCAAGTGCGTTAACCACTGGGCCAGGTGGCGAGTCATGTATTTCTACTATTGTTGGTGCAGTGTTAATAAATAACACTTGTGCAACATTTGGGTATCTATTCTGGCAACGTTTCGCCACACAGTAGCTTCGGTCCAACCCAGAAAAAGGTTGAAGATCAGTTTGAGGCAATCAGTTCCTCAGCCTGGAGTCCATGTGTTCAGTCCGTCAGTGTCTCGTTTATCAATTTGTCAGTTTTGTAGATCATTCACATCCTGGTGGTGTTGCTGCACGATGCCACACACGGCTTTGCATGATAACTACAGTAAATCCATCCTGTGGTCAGTGGATATAGATTAATATTTTGGTAGCGTCTTCCACGTGAGGTGTCTTCCATCAAGCCCGCCCTCTCTTACTGTCAATAATGTTCTTGTATTGCCTTAGAGTGCATATTAGCTCCAGGTAATTACAGGTGAGGCGGACCCTTCCCCAGGGGCTACCTGATTCAGGGCTGTTACCTTCATGCCATGCTGCTGTAGCCTGTGTACCTACCTCAACCCTACCTAAGAGCTACCCACTAGCTTCAGGCTATGATTCTGTACCCTCCCTCTTCTCTCTCTCTCCTCCCTACCTTTCTGTCTCTCTTGGTATCATTCTACTCCCTGTCTTACACCAGTCTCTTCCTCTCTCTTCCCTCCCATTCCTCCTCCTCCTACTGATTCATTATTTCTCTCTAACTTATCGTTTAGTCAACTTAAAACTAGTTAAAAGAACTGCTTTCATAATTTTGCGCGAAGGCACTTTATCTCAACTCATGCCAAATCTATACACTGAAACAGCTTCTTAGGAGAGTGAGATGCAGCAGAGCAAAATTCAGTAACGTAAAGGAGAAGTGCGATAAATACATGTAATAACTCGACAAGTGTAAAGGGTTCACGTGTTTTCAACACTCGCTCTTCATGTATAACACCAGTTACCAACCATTCCCTACTAGTCTTCAAGAAGGAACCTGACAAGTTCCTTTAAGTTCTTGATTATTCAAACTGGTGCCTATGTCCGCCTGCATGCATTGGTGGTGTCAGTGATATGCCGAAGTACGGTGTCGATGGATATCTGCTAATTGTGATAGAATCGGTATCGGTGGTATCCAGCAGCAACAGCCTGGTTGACCAGGTTAGCACCAGACGAGCCTGGTCTATGGCCGGGCTCTGGGAGCAGAAAGACACTCGAAACTCATCAAAGGTATATCGGCAAAAAATTGATATCGTCCCATCGTAAGTAGGTATCTACGGAACTATTAAGTGCGGGTAGACTCTCTCATTCTCGATTACCTTTGTCGTATCACATCCTCCTACTAATGCTGCTGCTGCTCCTTGCATGCAACACTCCTCCCCTCCCACCAATATCACAATAAGGGGCGTCATTAGTGTCGCCAGGGTGGGAGGGTGTTGCCTCTCAGTTTAAGAGATCTCAACCCCGTCACCGCAGCTTCGTCATAGTCCCACTTAACTTGATCTCTGCTCGTAGCATCCGTCAAACAACCGAAATATCCTGGGTTCGATCCCTTGTGTAATGAAAGACGTGTGTACAGGTCACCTTACAAATGATACCTTTGAAGAGTTTCACTACTCTCTGAGCCCGGCCATGGGCCAGGCTCGTCTAGTGCTTGCCTGGTCAGCCAGGCTGTTGCTGCTGGAAGCCCGCTGCCCCACATATCCATCACAGCCTGGTTGATGCTGTCAATGTTCATCTAGTGGTGAACAGATACCTGGATTAATTAGACTGTGTGGGTTGCATCGTGAGAGAAATGCTATAAGATGTACTAATCTAGTTGTGTTTACAGGGATCGATTCATAGCTCTTGGCCCGCCTTCTTCTGAATTCTGACTTCGAGGACCAGATCGTATCCAATCTTAAAACTGTGTACTGTTGAGTATATAAACATTCTTGAGAGTAATGTTCGTGTAATTAGTCGTAATGATGCACTTGAAGTAGACTTGGCCAACCACGAGGAAGCGCTAGACCCGTATAGGTCATACAGCACCTAGAGTCATGTAAGTAGGTTTGATCCAAGGAGGGAAAGGTAGCTCTTAACTATTACTGGCCTGTCATTGTCATTAAGGCAAGCTAACTGAAGGGAACAAAGACCTAACAGAGGGAAAGAAAAACCTTCAACTCTTGATGCTGGTGAAGGGCTCTTGATCCAAGGGCTTGCAGGTACCCCTCTCCTTCCCGTGAGTGAACCTTATTACCTCCCATTCTCAAACGTTGTGACCCTATAGGTTTAGCGTTTCCCCGTAAATAAAACGACAAGTTCAGAATAACTTAAGCTGAGAAGCTTGACTCGGCGTATTGTATTAACACATTAAAAGTTTCAGCTTTGAGCCTGGCCCATGGCCGGGCTCAGAGAGTAGATACTCTCTCGAAACTCTTCAAAGGTATATCAAAGGTTGATGACGCGTAGTATGATACTAGAGAAGATAATGATGAGTGAAGGAGATAGAAGCAGCAGCAACATCAACAACAGCTGTGGTAACAGCATCAACAACGGCAGCAACATCAACAACAGCGGTGGTAACAGCATCAACAACGGCAGCAACATCAACAACAGCGGTGGTAACAGCATCAACAACGGCAGCAACATCAACAACAGCTGTGGTAACAGCATCAACAACGGCAGCAACATCAACAACAGCTGTGGTAACAGCATCAACAACGGCAGCAACATCAACAACAGCTGTGGTAACAGCATCAACAACGGCAGCAACATCAACAACAGCGGTGGTAACAGCATCAACAACGGCAGCAACATCAACAACAGCGGTGGTAACAGCATCAACAACGGCA